ACTCGTCGCAATCTCAAAAATGGCTTACTTCATTCATTATTATATTATATTAACGTACTTTGCATTATTGTATTGTACTATTATATTTTATATTATTACCATTTTTATTACTATTATTATTACTATTTTATACCATTATTACATCTTTTCTATCAGTTCCGTTGAAACTAAAAATTGAAAATTGCTACGTGCTTCCACAATCGTGAGACGCAGCCGTAGTCTTAGAGCCTAGCGGAAGCGCGGTGTCGGGGCTGCGTCGATTTTCACGGATGCCATATGTCCCGGGCACCTTTCGTCCGGAGGCATTCTCCTACGCGCACCACTTCGGGATCTTTCTTCCTAGGAAAATAGAGGACGAGAGAGCGGTGCGAGAGGCAGATGTTTCGGAGAGGCTCCGCGCAGGTAGCGGAGAGGGTGAGAGTCGGCTGGAAAGGCGCGATCACGGAGGAATGGACACCTGCTGCACCTAGGTGTCCTTCGACCGTCGAACAACCACCGGTCGTTCCTTTTTGCCTCTCCAGGCCCCTCTGTTCCCTGCCTTCTCGAATTCTTACCGCGTGCACACCATCTCCCCGGGAATTAAAGAGCCGGCCGAACCACCCCTGCTGAAAAACTTATTCCCCTGTTGCGGCCTGGCAGAGCTGTTTCGTGCGGCCGGCTCGCACGCGCTCGGAAAATATCGAAAGCCGTTCGAACGATTTTCCGAATTGCTTCGCGGCTCCGTGACCATCCGGCATAGCCCATGCATGGACAATGAGCCGGCGAAAGTGTCAATGTACAATTTCATGGCTACTGGGCCCGCAACGCAAGCCTCGGTACCGGACACCTTCATTATTTTGTGCAACCGCCGTGTCTTTCGTCGAAGTTGCCCTCGTACTTCAGATTAACGCCTCGAAGAGCTTGATCGCCGGCCGAGGTTATTACTGTAATTTCTCCCTAATTCGCAATCGAATTGTGCACAAAGATGGACGATTTGGAAAGGGGAGGTGCTATTAATCGAGCCTCGGGACTTGTTTTTATATTAATTTTAGTTATATTAGTTTCAGTTATATTCACTTTAGTTATATCAATTTTAATTATATTAGTTTTAGTTATATTAATTCTATTTATATTAATTTCAGTTATATTAATTTTATTTATATTAATCTCAGTTATATTAATTTTATTTGTATCAATTTTATATTAATCGGTAACTAAAAAAACGAGCTGCAAGGCTCGAATAATCGTCCCCCTCTTCCCAAATTGTCCATTTTTGTGCGCAATCCGAGCGCGAAAATTAGGGAGAAATAACTGTATTATTCTCTCAATTTTTCACCCCTTTAGATTTCTCCCGCGACTTACCGCGGAAATTTGTGCACCATAAAAATTGTCTGCCTAAATGCAGACAAGTATCTGCAAGTCTCGTTCTTTCTTTAACAACATTAATATGTTAATACATGAACATTCTTAGCGCCTTCCGTTATTTTCACTGTTTCAAACGACGCCTATTCATTTCTGTCATAAATGCATAAAATCCACAGTAGGCTAGCGATCGCCGTTACCGCAATATCACCATCATTATTATATCTATCATCGTTATTACAGTACTCGCGTACTGGCACTCGTATGCTCGCCGTTATTACGCTCTCTGCGACAAAGGTTGCGCCAAGATTATTTAGTTATAGTTATCATTAGCTACGGGTCCCACCCCGTTTACGCCGAATCGATTGATTCATCGAAAAGATTCTTTAAACGTTTAAACAACGAAGCAAAAATCGGCGCATCTGCCTTCGAAAATCGAGCGTGATTTTTCTGAGAAGGGCCCGGGTCGCCGGAAAAATTGCCGGGGGTCGGGACAGCATCGTTCGCCGTCGAGAAAGCTCGGCGAAGCGGCAGCCGGCCGCGCGAGAAGATTTCGGCAGTCCCATGGGCCTAGCCCGCGGCGGCAAGAACCACCTGCCGCAGAGGTCGGTGGGGGCAAGCTGTTCTCGCGCGTCCTACCTCTCTTCCAAGCGTTCGCCCCGTCGCCCCGTCGCCCCCTCGGGCCGGCTCTCTCTTCCGCCCTCTTCCTCCTCAGGTACCCGTCTTCATCATATCTTACCGTTTCACCCCGACCTTCCCCGCGGTGCCCCTCGCCCGAACGTGTTCTCCGCTCGTCTTCCGTCCCGGCTACGCCACCTTCGCCTACCATCACCGCCATCACACCATCGTACCTCACGGCTTCGGTCCGACGACCGTGCATCACGCCGACCGGTTGTATACAGGGTGTCCCGAACCGAAACGCCGTGGAAAACCCAAACGCGCTGCCCTGCGAGAACGGCGTCTCCACCCCCCACCCCTCTCTCGATGAACTTGGAACGCGAAAAGACGAGCCGGGTTTTTGTCGCGAGGATGCAGTGTCAGCTGCGCGAAGGTAGACCCTGGCGAGATGTGCGTTTGCAAACGAGCGTTCGATGCTCGCGCAGGAAACTTACCGTGAAGTAGACCTTGACGAATGCGTTTTAGATCGGCCGGGAAACAATCGGACGGAGGAGACGCTGATGAACGCGTTCGCATTGTTCGAGACGATTGCAAACGGGCCCGCGAATTATTCTAAGGGCCTAAGGCCCAATTATTGTAAGGGCCCCGCGGGTCCTTCGTTATTCTAGTTTTTTCTGCGTTGGATCGTCGCTTTCTTGACTATTTTTATTGCTCTATAGGGCTCTACAGCCAGTCCAATAACTAAATAAATAAACAAATGAATCAATAAACGAATAAATAAATAAATGAATCAATAAGTAAATAAATAAATGAGAGAATACATTTTTGAAGGAAACAGATCCTGGCGAAACGCATATCTGCATGGTCGAACAGAATGTTCAGGGCGTTCCAACCCCTTGGAAATGCACCGATCACTGCACTACGGTGTTATTAGATGCACAAAATTGACCGGCGATGTCAAAGGTCGTTGTATCTCGGCGTCCAGGTGTCTCGTCGGTAGCTAAACAGTTTACCGCGGAACCGCCGCCGTTAAATCGTTTCGTAATCCGTAAAATACAGTTTTCACAAAGGGTTCGCCGGCCCCCGTTCCACCCCGCGAACGTAACAAGAGAGTCCTCTCCTCGCCGAGGTTGTAATAAAATTTCGTCCGATTTTCTTCGGGCGTAAATTAGCAGCGTCTCGGGCAGAGCGGATTTGCATAAACGTTTGGGCCGGTCTAGCGATTACGCGGCGCGCGGTAACCGGCGACGATGAAAATGTACTTCCGTCGGCGTGCTCTGACACAGGATTTTTCCTGTAATCGATAACGATTGTTAGCGATCCGTAATTGCGACCGGAACGATTACAGCTACAGTCGCGGTCGGTAATTACAGGGGGCGGGGGGGGGGGATTCGAGTTGTAATCGAATTAACAATCCTCATTTCAATCCTCGTCATTAGCGCGACTATCGAATTACAGATTTTTGCCGAATGTAATCCGCGCGCGTCTCCGTCCAGTCCACGGCGAACAAATACGTACCGCGAAATTTCAGTCTTTTGTTTAATCGAACGAACAACTTCCACGACTATCTCGATCGACCCGATCGAGAAAATCATCGGGCGTGCGCGCGCGCGACTTTTGCCTCGTTATTAATGTTACCAGATTAATTTGCGGACACGCATCGAGTACACGCATCGTATTCCTCGCGGACTTTTAATTAATCAGTCAGTTGTGTGCCCCGCGTAAACGATAGTGGCCACTGGCTATTTAAATTGTAATTTCAGCGCGGAACAAAAACATATTTTCAAATTTCAATATGTTCGGAATATTTTGGGACCGGGCCGGAATAAAACGAACGAACAAAAAACCTGAATAATTCACGATATTAGTGGTCGATGTTCGAAGTGCATTGTCTCCAAAATGTATTGTGTTTTGCTTCGCCGAATATCGCTCTATAGTAACAATTCGAATTTTTCAAGTATTTGATATATTCTTATTCTTCTTATTATTATTCTATACTTATATGTGATATATAAGTATTAATAATATTTCAAGGATTTTTCAATTTTACAAGTATTTGGTTAATATAATATAACATATAATATATATAATATAGCTTTTGATTATATATATATTAATGTTAAGAGAACGAACAAATATCAGCAATAAAATTGCTAACTTTATAAAACAAAGCCGCCCCTTTAATCCAACATTTTAACAGCGACACTTGCACCGTGTTCGACGAGTATATTCGTCGTCGGCCTGTAAAGAAGTCGCCACAACTAACCGGTTAAAAATCCCGCGATTCCATTTCCAACACTTCCGTTCGATCATCGAAACGCAGCAAACACAGTACGTATACATATAATACGAAAATCATTACCCGCTAAATAAAGTGGAAAGCGTCTCGGCGCGGCGGTTCGAGGATCCCCGAAAATGCGCATTTAATACTTTCCGGTGCGAGCAAACGCTGCATATTCGATCGATGCCCGGCGCAAGAGCAAATATTATGCAGCAGCAAATACCAATGAAAATTCTTACGGGCTCGAGAGAACCCACCACCGCCCCTCGGAGATCGAGGGTTAATTGCCCCCGATATAAGGTCGTAAAACTTGTGTCCCGGTTACCCGAAACATCGAAACAACAATAGGTTAAATCGATAATCCCTCGCGGGGTTATTCGAACTTGCTTTTCCCGTAGAAAAAAGACGACGTGCCCGCGGTCCCCGTCACGTATACGGCTCCCGCGGGGCGGAGGGGTGGTGGTTTAGCGCGTGGGTCAGGCTCGTGTGTCCACCATAATTATACACGACCTTTATTTCCATCGGTATCGCGCGGGGCTTTCGCAATTGCGTGCATGAACGCGAGCAAATATAAACACACGCGGCCGACCGCCGCGACGCGTTAAACACCCCGAAGCCTAGGGGCCGATTTCCCGACACCCGGTATAAGCCTCCGGCTCTCCGTTGCCGACGCCGGAGTGGGGACCGCGACGGAATGGGGAGAAGCCGACGGTGGGGGGTAGGAGCGAGCTACGCGACCCCAAGCTCAGTCGTCGCGCGACCCTCGTCGAGTGAGTTTTGTGTCAGTGTTCCCTCGAAGTTTTTTGGGCCCGGAGCCAGCTGCTCCGCCGTTTTGCAACACAGAGAGAGAGTGCATCGACCAGACACCGGGTCACGGCGCCGCTGCGTCCTCCACGATCACGTAAAAAATCGTCCGTCAACGATTCGATCCGATCCGGTTCGCTTCGCCGAGGATAAAAAAACGATCGCCGAAGTGTCCGCCGGCGAAGAAGGTGTGCTGAGGATCCGAGAGGGGCGCGTGTTGCGCGCGTAACAGCCGCGCCGAACAAAGGACGGCTGCAACGTGGCGTTTCGAAACCGCGCGCGAAGCTTCCGCCCGTGACAACGCGCCATCGGAAAGAGAGAGAGAGGAGAGAGAGAGTTCTCTTTTGCCGTGGAACTTGTACCTGTATGGTTGTAACAGTGCGACCGGGATCGTCGTAGATCGTGCCAGTGCGAGGAGACATGGGACGCTCGATCCATCGGGCGGACCGCGGAACTCGCGACAGTGCCAGAAGATCGCGGTAATCGGCGTCGAATCGGCTCGTGGAAAAATCGCTTGGAAATCCATGAGGTTTGGTGGTAACGCGAGCGAGGTAACGAAGGGCGAGCCAAGGGATCCGCGAGTGTCAGTGTCGGAGATCCAGCGGACTTGCGACGAGGATGGCCGCGAGTCGCGAGCAGTAACGATCGACGGGATCGATCGGTGAAAGTCGCGCGCGCGCGCGATAGACCAGCGAGGCGATCCAAGGCGAATCGTTGTCCCGATCGGCTGACGATCGACGGTCCGATGGATAGGATCCGAATCGACAGGCCGGCCACGGCCATCGTCGCCGTTTTCATGCTGATTCTCAGCCCCGGTGAGTAGTCCGCCAACGGGGAGCCAAGTTCTCGGCCGCGTTTCCGCTCGAAAACGCGAACCTTGCCGCTCGGTTTCCGATTCCGCGTCTTCGCTTTTGTCTTCCGGAAACGCCATCGTCGTCGTCGCGCCCACCGATCCAACATCCTTGGATCCATGGATCGTCTCTCCGCCGGCTCACGCTCTGCCATCTTGATCTAGGGTTACAAACTCTTTCACGCACACGTTTCTCCGGAAAACGTCGTTCCGCGACGAAATCGCAGGCATTTTTTTTTAGCAAAGGCGATTGTCGAGTCGCGGACTTTGGGCAACATTTCGCGTATTTGTTTCGCGAGAAATGGGAAATTTATCTTGTCAGGACGGTCTTAACCCTTTGCACTCGATTGGTGACTCTGAGGCACCGCTAAAATTTGTTGTATCTCCTTTTAAGATAATTTTGATATCAACAAGGTTTAGATTTAGGAAATTGTTAAGGGTATAACTGTTGTGCGAGTGCTAAGAGTCAACTTCATATGCATAAAATGCATTTTGTCGTATAAAGTAGAAATACTATAACTTAGAAAAATGATTTTATATTTTCGGTTAAAATAGCTTCGAGTGCAAAGGGTTGAATTGTTTAACCCTCTCGGCGCTGTCTGAGCATTTATTCAAGAAGAATTTCCAAGTCGATGCGTTGAGATGTTGCAAAAATAATTTCGGTACTTTTTTTTGGCTAGAAAACGGAAATCGCTTTTGCAACAATAGAATTTTCGATAAGATTCGAGAAAACAATGTTCTGCGATATAATAATTCGTGACTGAGCGCGCTGAAAAATTAAAAAAGCCTCTTTTATTGAAAATACGCGGTCGCGTTTTATCGTCGGATTTCATCTACCGCGTAATAAACGCACGAAATCCGGGGAGGTCCGGTGATTTGTCGTTTCTAAACATCGGTTTGTTAACTGTGTTGCAGCGAACGTCACCGTCGACGCAGCCGAATTGAATTATTAACGGTACCTATTGAATTTCGCGAGCAGGCCAACNTGCTCCGCCGTTTTGCAACACAGAGAGAGAGTGCATCGACCAGACACCGGGTCACGGCGCCGCTGCGTCCTCCACGATCACGTAAAAAATCGTCCGTCAACGATTCGATCCGATCCGGTTCGCTTCGCCGAGGATAAAAAAACGATCGCCGAAGTGTCCGCCGGCGAAGAAGGTGTGCTGAGGATCCGAGAGGGGCGCGTGTTGCGCGCGTAACAGCCGCGCCGAACAAAGGACGGCTGCAACGTGGCGTTTCGAAACCGCGCGCGAAGCTTCCGCCCGTGACAACGCGCCATCGGAAAGAGAGAGAGAGGAGAGAGAGAGTTCTCTTTTGCCGTGGAACTTGTACCTGTATGGTTGTAACAGTGCGACCGGGATCGTCGTAGATCGTGCCAGTGCGAGGAGACATGGGACGCTCGATCCATCGGGCGGACCGCGGAACTCGCGACAGTGCCAGAAGATCGCGGTAATCGGCGTCGAATCGGCTCGTGGAAAAATCGCTTGGAAATCCATGAGGTTTGGTGGTAACGCGAGCGAGGTAACGAAGGGCGAGCCAAGGGATCCGCGAGTGTCAGTGTCGGAGATCCAGCGGACTTGCGACGAGGATGGCCGCGAGTCGCGAGCAGTAACGATCGACGGGATCGATCGGTGAAAGTCGCGCGCGCGCGCGATAGACCAGCGAGGCGATCCAAGGCGAATCGTTGTCCCGATCGGCTGACGATCGACGGTCCGATGGATAGGATCCGAATCGACAGGCCGGCCACGGCCATCGTCGCCGTTTTCATGCTGATTCTCAGCCCCGGTGAGTAGTCCGCCAACGGGGAGCCAAGTTCTCGGCCGCGTTTCCGCTCGAAAACGCGAACCTTGCCGCTCGGTTTCCGATTCCGCGTCTTCGCTTTTGTCTTCCGGAAACGCCATCGTCGTCGTCGCGCCCACCGATCCAACATCCTTGGATCCATGGATCGTCTCTCCGCCGGCTCACGCTCTGCCATCTTGATCTAGGGTTACAAACTCTTTCACGCACACGTTTCTCCGGAAAACGTCGTTCCGCGACGAAATCGCAGGCATTTTTTTTTAGCAAAGGCGATTGTCGAGTCGCGGACTTTGGGCAACATTTCGCGTATTTGTTTCGCGAGAAATGGGAAATTTATCTTGTCAGGACGGTCTTAACCCTTTGCACTCGATTGGTGACTCTGAGGCACCGCTAAAATTTGTTGTATCTCCTTTTAAGATAATTTTGATATCAACAAGGTTTAGATTTAGGAAATTGTTAAGGGTATAACTGTTGTGCGAGTGCTAAGAGTCAACTTCATATGCATAAAATGCATTTTGTCGTATAAAGTAGAAATACTATAACTTAGAAAAATGATTTTATATTTTCGGTTAAAATAGCTTCGAGTGCAAAGGGTTGAATTGTTTAACCCTCTCGGCGCTGTCTGAGCATTTATTCAAGAAGAATTTCCAAGTCGATGCGTTGAGATGTTGCAAAAATAATTTCGGTACTTTTTTTTGGCTAGAAAACGGAAATCGCTTTTGCAACAATAGAATTTTCGATAAGATTCGAGAAAACAATGTTCTGCGATATAATAATTCGTGACTGAGCGCGCTGAAAAATTAAAAAAGCCTCTTTTATTGAAAATACGCGGTCGCGTTTTATCGTCGGATTTCATCTACCGCGTAATAAACGCACGAAATCCGGGGAGGTCCGGTGATTTGTCGTTTCTAAACATCGGTTTGTTAACTGTGTTGCAGCGAACGTCACCGTCGACGCAGCCGAATTGAATTATTAACGGTACCTATTGAATTTCGCGAGCAGGCCAACGTTGATCTAAACGAAATAGGTCGAAAAGTTCCATTAACAAAATAAAGATTAGTATTGATTTGACTCTGCGGCCCCGCCGGACCGAAGCGTCGCCGCATTTGTCAATTTCGAATTTCGTCGGCTCCTTCGAAAGTCCCATTCAGTCCTCGCTGTAATAGATTCAGTCGTAATGGTAACAGACTCAGTCGTAGTAGTAGCTTCTGCTGTAGTAGTAGATCCAGTCGTAGTAATAGATTCGGTCGTAAGTAGCAGAGATTTGGTAAATGGGTTAAGTCCCGATACCGGTTTAGTCAAACTCGGACCGGCTTAATGCCGAGTCGAAAGTTCGCGTTTCGTTTCTTTTTTCGAGACCCATCGAAAAGCCAAAAAGCGAACGACAACGGACTCCGAATCGCCGGAGGGGGTTTCCATTTCGTTCCACCGTGTATATCGGAACTGGTAACGGTGCAACTAACGGCAATTAAAATCCGGCGTAATTTCGATTGTTTTTGCGCGGAAACGTGTATTATTGTAACAAGAAACTGACCGGTGTCTGTTTTTCTTCCAAGTATAAACTTGCGTTTCGAATAGCGCGCGCGCCCGTTTAGCTTGGCGAGAGCTAATAATTGTTCGCGGGGTTTGTTGTTTCGCGTACAAAATATTCGATTACGGACTACGCCGTGCCGCGAAACAGACTGCATATAATTTTCGCCGAGCGTAAAAATAGTTGTACGGCGGCGAATTATCGGCCTTTTGGATCTCGTTGCGGCAGAAAATTTCGCGAGGCTCGCGCGGCTGCGAACGCGAAGTAGTTTACGAAGGATCTTCGCTTTTCATGAAAAGTGCAAATCCGCTGATAGTAGAGAGAGAGAGAGAGAGAGAGAGAACGAGAGGGAGAGCGAGATAGAGCGGATGAAGAGGAGTTTCATATTTAGATGAGTCCTTACGGATTGACTAGCCCCAGGGCCGGCCACGCTCCCCGCAATTTCTGGCATATAACTTCGGAACAATAGTAATTCATTCGCCGTGTTTTGATCAAATGCGGCATTAACGTTTCGTGCAGCTGCGGAGAGAGAGGGCCGGCATTGTGTCTATCCCCTCGATCGTGCGCGAAAAATGTTCGCTATAATCGCGGTTTCGATTCGTATATACGCGCGAACTCGGCCCGGAACCGAAACGGACGATCTTCTACGCGCCGTAGGAACAAGCGAGCATCGATTCTCGGCCGTGCACAGACCACCTTCGAGCAACTGGAAAAATGCAGAAGCAATTTCCGTCGGCCATGTTTGCCGCGATACACGACGTTCGGCCGCGCATTGCTCGCTTTAACTTTTCAGCGACCCCAGCCGCTAACGACTATAGGCCGCGCGCGGCGCGTACGACGCGCGAGAAAAGGGTGCATTTATCGAGTCCACCCCGATTCGTTTAACCTGTTGGACCTGTTGACACGTTACGACTGACCCTTGTCACCCACGCGATAACATTTAACACGCATCCTCTTCGCCGTCTTACCGGAAGCGAACGAAAGCGGATTGATCGCTTGTCGTCGTCCCACCCCCTTTGGTATTTACGGTGACATCACACGACGAAAAAACTTGCGATTGGATCAGCGAAGCATCGTCTCGATTAACCTTCAATCGTCGAAGGTGACGTGCGTCGATTCAACGTCACGTCGCACCGCGAAACAAAACAGATTTGGAATCTGAATCGCTCGAACCTTGACCTTCGTCGGCAAGGAAAAAAGCTTTACAAAAGGTTAAACGAAATATCATCTCTGCGAACACAGTTTCGATTGTCGACGAATACCGAGTACAGTCCGTAAAATGGCGTCGATGATGTCTCGTTGGATCGGCGATGCACCGTCGATCTCGCGCGAAGATTTCTCGTCGATCTCGCGCAAAGATTTCTCGTCGATCTTGGCCCAAGGTTCTCCGAATTCGCGGTTCTTGCGGAAGATCTCCGTGTAAAGCGTTCGATAATCGATCTATTTCGAGCGAGAGCCGTTGAAAGGGACCGGGGGCTCCGTCGTGGAAAGGTAAAATGGCGCCCGGGAGCCGACTTCGGCGTGGAAGCCGCACGGAACTACTACCAACCTCGGCGAAAACAGTCGGAAAGTTCAAGATTAACGTTAAATTCGATCCGCAAACGGTGCTTCGGTCGAACAGTTTCGAGGGAGAGTAG